ATAGCGAAACTTAGCAAACAGGCCCTTATCAGTATAAAGTCACTTCAAGTGATCTGTTGAGTAAAATGACAACCGAAGGAAAATAACACTATATTACGCAATAAGTTTATTAAACACTAGAAAAGTGTATCTACATTTTGCATACGATAATTTTTCTAGCATTATATTTTGAACACATTTTTGAAAAACAGCACGAATACATTGAATAAGCGACTGGCAGCCGTCAGTATCATCAGTACCATCAGTATTTGAAATCTACCGAAAACTTCAACAGTCGCTCCCCTATAGCGGCCAGTGATACGTAATGGGATATTTTAGAGTGGAGAATAGAAAAAATGCTTTTAATGACTGCATTTTTCATTAAAATAATCAAGAATTTTTATTAAGAATTACGAATAAGTCTCCTTCGAATGTAAGTTCAATTTTTCCTAATGTTAAGGCCCTACCAACATCTTTGCATTAAAAAAAAACTACCACTGATAAATCAAAAAATATTAGAGCTAGACAACTAGCCAAAACTTTTTTCGAATATTGTTCCATATGCTTATATTATATATAAGTATTAAAATTGCAACTGACTCAAAGTCTTTAATTTTAAAGGACTTTTCAAATTATTAGTGTTATTTGCAGCATAGTTTTATAAAATTTCAAAGAACGATCCAACTAAGCTGTTATGAGGCACCGCTCCACATTTGTTCCGCAATTTTTAGGAAAAGTTGGAATTTCCTTCGGAAAAATAGCACATAACAGTAACGTACAACGCTTTCTCGGCTTCTTTGTCTCCGAACAAAGAAGTTATGCACAAAAATGGGGCGTATAATAAACATTGATGATAATGAGTGCGCTAAAATACACGCCATCGCGCAATAACGTCCCATCGTTGCGAATTTGCGCGGGAAAGACACGTACAAACGGGAGGCCATGCAATTTAACCCGGTTGCAATTTTCCCACCGTGAAAAATAGATCCGATTTATCAACCGTCACGAATTGTACTCCGACGCCGCGGAAAATTGACGCCCGTAATGCGTCGTCGACGACGCTGACACCGGCAAATATTATCAATGGACGTTAAATTTGGAGTAGATTTTCATGTAAATTAATTAATCGCGTCGAACTTATGAGATCCATATAACTTTATATATTATAAAATATAAACATCTTAAATATTATATCTTCGATATTTTCCTAGTTAATAAAATAAAACTGGAAAAACAAGTCTCAAAACAAACTCATGCAACAACATTCGTGCTGATCCGTAGAGAAAGATACTAAAAATATTGATAATAAAAATACGCTTTTAACCAGAGACAAAATGGTAACTCTTTTTCTTCTTTAGAAGAAATTATTGTTTCACAACCTCCTAATATTTGTAAAATTGATAGATTGTTTTCATTCATTAACATAGTGGATAGTGCCTAATTCTGTATTCTATAATGACGATTCTGAATGAGACTTATGGAGTGATAATCCCCTTTCTTATAAATTAGTATAATTAACTATTTTTCTATCTTTGGCCTATCGATCGGTCTATCTGAATCAAATGGGTGAATAGTGATGATAAAGTTCGATTCATAAACGATCGTATTGTCTCTATTAACAGAACTCGTTCTTTATTCTCTTATAATTAATCTGCTATAGATCAAAGCTTGTGAAGCTTAAAAAACATCTACCGACCAGATAACAAAAATCACTATCCTAGATTGTAACTCCTTACTAGTTTAAATATTTTTGGCAACTTATTTATTCCAATTAACATAAAATATTCCCAAAACATTTGGAAACATTGAGTTGTTTGACCATAGTTATCCAGTTGAACCAGATAAGACGAAACAAGATATTTATTTATTCGGTTTCAGAGTGGGGTCCATACTTACTCATTTAATTATATGAAATTATGTCAGTATGTGTATATTCATGTTTAAAATAATATAATAAATAGCTCTTTATTTTGCTAGTAACACACAGAAAATATCTAAAACCAAAAAGAAATGTAAGAATGTGTCAATTACGTAGGTACAATTTGATTCCTAGTCGAAAGGTATCGCTTTAATATCATCCAGCAAGCTATTAAAATAGCGAAATTCACCGTAAATTAACCTATTAGCCTCCCTTTTTTTCAATATTCTTATACGTAATCTACGTATTTTCCAAAATTTAGCTCTAGGTCTATAACAGCTCCAGGTTATGTAATCTCTTCAATAATAACATTTAGTTTTCAAATTGTTTAACTTACTTCCAGCTATTTATTTAGTAAAACAGTTATTGCATTATAATTGGTAACTGATATAGAAATAAGAGTGTCGTTATATCGTTAAAATAAACAAATAAATCATTAAGATCGCAAGATACTCTAGTGTCCTATTCTCTAATCCATGCAATGATAATTTTTTTATGAGAATATTCATTCAGAAACTCATTTTTCTCCTATTGCGCATCTGGAAAATAGGAGGGGCGAACCCCTGTCATAAAACCCGACGTTTACGCTGGCCGTCGCGTCGCCCGGCATCGTAAATTTTCCGGGACAACGGAAGCGTGAACCGTGCGCCTCAATCGTTCCGGAATATTTTTCACGGCAAGGCTAAATTTGTTGCCATTGAAATTTATGCATATATGTCGGATTGAACAGGCGAGCGGCAGGCTATCGAGGATTTATATCGCGTCTCTAAACTACCGAAATATCGGAGACAGCAATATTTGAATGATGCAGCTGTTGGATTAGGTCCATCAGTTACGTTGAAACTCCGGATGACTCTCGGTGTATGACCTATTGCATGTATCAGAAAAATCGACCGATTTGCGCGGATGTAAGCGGGAATCATTGATTGTCTTTTTCTTCTGCATCTTCATCGCATTCTTCTTGCTCTTCATATCCATTACTGGAAGTTAATTTAGGCTAGTTAGTATAAATGTCTGTGCCTTCTTCTCATTTTTCTAATTTCTCTTTTGCCTTCGATCTATAATAGACGATTGTATGCAGCTTCACTTCACTTCATATAAATGAAAGTCTGTCTCTTTAAAATCCTTTGAATCTCACCATGTCCGTTCACAGAATAGAGCTTAATAAGGTAGATGATTTCGCACTGACAGGTCGATTCATTGCAGAACATGCCAACGTTATAATTTAGACCAAGCTATAGAGCGGTCTGGCCATGAGCTCTCTCTCACGACAACCTGGTTAAACTGCATCTTATTTCAAAGAGTGATGTTTAATAATAACAAGTTTCAAAGAACGGACATACCCCTACTGCCAAGCTAGTTTTCCTTCCTAATAAAAAGGGCACAAGCCAGCAAAAACACACGGAAATGAGAGGTAAGAGCTACAAAATGGCACCAACATTATTTGTGCAAAATATTTTAAGTCTAGAAACTATTAATAAGAAAAGCCTGACATTACAAAAAGAGAGAAAGGAATTTCCAATTTCCAATTACTGTTTGGACATTCGGAATTATGGACAGAGAGTTTCATTATTTATACGGAACACAATAACATAACGGGTCCTAATATGGCTTCGGTAGACGTCCTACGCATCCCAAAATGAAATATCGAAATTCTCTGCACGTCCAGACCGCATTGTTTCGCCACCGCGTCCGACTGATGCGATTGGCCATCTGTCGTGGACAGTTTGAAAGCAAACCTCCCCCTTTAGAAGAGACGACGGGTTTTAATTTTTTATTATCGGGTTTTGAAAATAAAATATGGCAACTTAACGTCTAATAAAGAATTAACAAAGAAAATTTCAATATATAACGATATTTTTATGGTATCGCATATTATTTAAAAATTGTGATAAAATCCTTAAGCACAGATCTATAAGTACTTAATCTAAATGCATATGTTTTAAGGTAACCAGTTATCAACAAATATCTATATTTTTATCTTAATGATTTATAAAAGTAACAAAAAATACTAACAATATCATAAAACAATGATAATCTTGAAGGTAATGACGGAATTCATTTACCTACGTTTGATAAATTGCATAATAATAGCATAATAACTTTGCAACGCCATCTTGGAACATATGAGATTGATGCATGATTCATGCTCCAAGGGGGTGATGTGAGATTGGTGCTAGTAGTAATTATTAGTATTAGTTAAGTTGTCTTACTTTCCCTAACTCTATCGTTTTAGAGGAGATAGTACACATCACTGTCGAGCGAAACATCGTTTTACAACTATACTGAACCAAACATTTTTGTTAAGTAACCAATTACACATAAGCCTTTGCCTTCCGGCCAATTGCTGTTTTCATACTGTTCTGAAAGTACCAAAAAGATTTACTAAACCGATCCATAAAACTCACTAATTTTGATTTGTTCACTTTTACTAATTCAAAAACTCAGCCAGTTACTTCCTTTTGTTCTTTTATATGAAAAATTCTTATATTATTCATCAAGAATATTCGATACGAGTTTTCTCCTTGGTGGATCACGTTAACAAATTGGGATCCCAATTCTATACACCACAACGCAAAATTTACTTTATTAGAAACGAAATAAATCGAATATATTGTATGATGTAAAATCAAAAATGATTCAAAGAAATGCCGATATGTAAAGAAACATATTTTTAATTTTTCAAACATTTTAATTCATCATACATACAAAAGTAACAAACATTGAAATTCATGAACACAAATGTTTGATAAACATTTTGTTTCAAATTTTACTATGTGACAAATGGTTCATGAATGTGACGAAAATATAAATTGTTCCTAACCAAAACAAACCAAAACTTTTGGTTTAACATTTCGTTTTTAGAAACCGTTTTGTTCAATATATTGAAATGAACACTAATGAGCAGTAAAATTAATTTAAATACAACATTGTTTTGTTAAAACTGTTGTACGAAAACTTTTTTATTCGATAGTAAAGCTGCGTTCTATAGAAAAGCAAATCATGCGAGAAATTGTTAAACTTTTTTTTACTTTTCCGAACTCCTACCTTCGTGAAAGTCGTCAGGTGAACTGATACAAGTGAGCTTTTTGCTTTCTTTCAGAGTGGTGGAATTGTTTACATGGCTCCTAGAAATTACTGAAGATGCCACGGAGAGCTACGACGGTGCCAGGATCGTATGGAATGTCCGTTACGAGCCACATCAAGGCGATACGGAGCTTGAGATCCATCGAAGCGAAGGACGCAAGTCTTCTACGCGATTCGAGATACAAAAAGACGACATCCAGGCTGTAGTTCCCATTAGCAAGGTAAGGTATAGGAATTTCGTTCGGTAATTCATAGTGCAACTTAAAAAATTCTAGCCAGAGTAATTCATTTTCGTTTCCACATACCTGATTTTTCGTATCGCTGACTTTCAGGGATTTTCATTATTATTTTTCTAAAATTTATTTTTATTTGTTTCAATTTTTAATATTATATATTAAAATTATAATCTAAAATAATCAGCTTCAAGGTGAGTTTTCGTAAGTAATACTAGAAACTCCTAGAAAGTAATTCACAGATATGGAGAATTCTGTTATTGAAGATTATTTTTTTTTACAAATTTTAGCTGATTCTAACTGAAACGAATTAACTTTGCTTTTTTTCTTTTTCATTTAAGAAGAATAAATCAGTGTCTTCGTTTTTCAAGAAAACACAGTTGTTTTATATAGGTGCCTATCTAATAATTGGAGCGTTTGAAAAGTAGTTCAATCTGAACCTTTCTATAGAAAATGTTAGCCTGGTGCGCACTTGATAAGAATTAGCGTTGCAAAATAAGTTATTTGTACGAAAACGTGACTCTTAATTCACAAAAGTGAAAGTTATTCTTATATATGGATCTGTCTCTATTGTAAGTAAAATTTGGGTTTTTAAAAAGCTTTTTTGAGACATTTTATGTCGTTTTAGGTATATCTACCTGAGATTGGAAATGTTTAACCTAAGTAACTTCTTTAAGTATTGGATTGTCCAATTTTGAATCAATATTAATTCGTTCTTTTACTCGTAAATAATATAACTTGGCTTTTATTGACAATTATTGACCAAATTATAAAACCTTATTAAAAATCGGCGCATAGTTAGATAATCTATAAACGGAAACGAAAATTAATATATCACCATAAAAAACAACGGGCACTAAAAACTGAATTTGAATTTGAGCAACAATGAGATAAAGTTTTTTTTTTCGAAAATTTTCAACACCCTGTAGAATGCAACAGCAATGGCAGATATGATCAACTGGAATCATATTGAAGAATGATCTTTTCTGAACTTTTTGTTTTTCATTCACACAGCTCAGTTTTTCCTAGAGATACACTGTTTCAAAGCGAACGCATCAGATTGAGCTGTGAAAACGCAACAAATAAACATCAAACCTTAAGTTTAGTTAGACAGCTAAATACAACATAAATTTTAATTAATATTTGAAATATTTATTTTCTGACATAGCATCGTTACAATTTAAAAAAATCATCAAAATCAGATGGGCGGTTCAAGTGAAAGGGAACTTGGAAGGAAAATTGGGTCCAGTTTTTAGTGGCCGGTTTTTTGGCGGTGTGTAATTGATTCTAATAATTAATTTAAAAAAAAATTTAATCGCATCTCGCTTTTTATACAATTTTGTACGTTGCCGCATCTTGCGACGAAATAGCCAAACGGGACATTAGGGAACCTTCAGATTCAGATTACCTTCAAGGTAATGTTGAACTCCCCGATACCTTTGAGTCAGCTCACGTTAAACGTTTAACGATTTAAAAGTCATAATATTTAATGTGGGGATCACGTTAAGCCGGCGACAAAAACCATCGTTTAAAACCGTATGTTTTATCGCGCACGTTCTGGTCGCCTCGCTAATTGGGGTTTTACGCGAGAAAATTCACGAAATGCAAATTCGACGCTCGTTCGGGCGTCCTTTATGTGCGCTTTAACGGGCTTTTAAAACTTGTCGCGTTTGTATACATATCGGTGGATCCTTTTTAATTGATCTTTCGCCTGGAGCGATTGGATTCTAACGAGTCGGATATTGATTGTTATTAATTTGGGTTGCCCCTTCATTTTGGGACGCTTACTTCGGAAAATATAAAAGCAACATTCGACATAATAATAATAATAATAAACTGTTCATTGCCCATAACCTCAACCTCAACATAATGCTAGATTCCACTGAATACAGGACGCTTTAGTTTTGGGATAAACAAGAAAATAAGACATTTCTGATAGAAATCATAATACTTAATTGAACTCGTCAGTATTAAGTATTATTTATTTTACAAATAACCCGGAAAAAATAAAATAACATAATCCTAGCCTACAAAAATAAACTGACCAGAAAAAGGGAAGAGGAACCAAAATAATGGATTGTATTAATTAAAGTTGCTTTTAAATTTAGTCAATGACTGTGGGACAATTATTTTCCACTAACCAATTAGACAATTTATAGCCGAACCGTTTAGATGTTATATTTTTCATTTCAGCAGGAATGATGTTATATAATTTATTTCCAACATATAGAGCTGTTCGCTGTCCTATCCTTTTATTTGCAAATGGGTGTGTTAAGTTTTCTTTCGTTTTTTCTCTACTAAAGTGATCATGAGATATGTGGTTGTTCAATAATGAGTTTTTTCTACTCCCGTCTGTCAAATGTTTCGTTTCCAACTGATCCGAGCCACTCCAGACATTTCCGTAATTTTACCGCACGAGTTTGGAAGCAATCGTATGTTTTCGTAAATTTTACCGCATGGCTTTGACGTTTGTCAATTCTGACGGTCATGACAGTGAATGTATTCGTGTTGTTTTGCGAAAATGTACCCAAACACTAACGGTCGTAGAAAAAGTATAGTATGCAACGCGTTCGGTAAACTTTTTAAGTCACTAGTTTATTAAACACTCGCTCCGCTCGTGTCAAATAAACTCGTGAGTGAAATGACCTTTACCGCACTTGTTGCATAATATACTATTTCCGCATAGTTGCATAGTATAGTTGCCGAATATTTAATACCCTGCAACAGTTAAATAGCTGATATGAAGGATACTGTTGGTCAAACTGAAATATAACTTTCTGGACTCATTTCTGAATAACCTCTAATGGTTTGAGATTACTTTTATATAACGCAAAGTACAAGGAAAGGTTTTCTTTTATTGAAAAAATTTGTCTCGTTTGCTTAAAAATATATACTAGGAATCTAATTTTTTTTAACTAGTGTTTGAATATGAATATCCTACTTCAGATGGCTGTCCAATAATATGCCAAGATATTGGACACTGTTTTTTATTTCTATTTGCCATAATTCAGATCTCTGTGTCAGGTAAAGCTCAATATTGTTATCGGGTAATGTTAAGACGTTATTAGAAAAGGATACATACACAGTTTTTTATGGTAAGTAAGTGTTTGTCAAACCAGTTGGTTATTGCAACATTATTCCAAATGCCGACTTCCCTCATTAAGACTGTATCCTCCGCATATAATATGTCTTATAGTATTCATCGAAAGTAAATCATTTAGGTAGATATTCCACAGTTAACAGTTTATTTGTTAGTAATAATGTTCTTAATTCTAACTGATTGTTTTCTGTTATAGAGGTAGCTCTTGAATAGATGTAGCGCAAGACGCCTGACAAAAATTGATTCTAATTTGTTTATTAATAACCTATGACTTACTGTGTCAAAGATCTTGGCCAGGTCTATAAAAGAATGCAGCACAGGGACATCCTCTATGCAGACAGCTATATATCCTTCCAGATAATGCTGCAATTACATTAGCTGTACTTTCATTTTAGAATCTCAACATCAGTACCATCTTCTCCAGGTTTAGTTTTATTCTTCAGTTCGCTAATATTTTTTTCAATCTGACCATTATCCGTTTCTTCAATAAACACCGGGTGTCTGATATTATTATGATTTTCTGAAAAGTAAATGGTTGTGGCTCGGCTTTTATTCGCTAACTTGTGCCCTCTAGTAGAGTTATTAAAAAAATTGCCCTGTCGTATGAATCAGAACTATGGGACAAACACTTATTTTCAGTTTTCCACATATTTTTGGGGTTATGTTTGTTTTGGTGTATTATGTTTTTCTAAAAGATATTTTTTAGTTTTCTCGTAAGATTTACTATTTTATTTCCGTATTCTTTAAATTTGCTATTTTTTTTATATTACCAATTATCTTTATACAAATTATCTCTTATTTTAATTGATTTCAACATGGAACAGTAAACAATAAACAACATGGAACAGTAAACAGTTAAATTTCTTTTAGACGCTTTTCTGTGATTTTTTGGTATTATTAATTCCAATACCGATTTGTAAATTGAGATCTATTTTGTCTGTCTCAATTTTATTTTTGTCTTTATTGAAGTGCTGCAAGAAAACAAGGAGAGTTTTGGAAATCTAGTAATTCAGACCGATGCACGGGAATTATCTAGCGGTGTTGTATTCTGAATTGTTATTTCAAAAATTCAAAACCTCCATTAAATGATCCATTGCAACCTGAGCGGCAACAAACATATGTCTTTTGAATTATTTCTACTTGTTTTTCCGAAATTTTTTATGTAAAAACATTGCACTTCGCTTTGGTTGTTGAGAAAGAACAGTGAAAGATAGAATGTCTCCGGCATCGGGTTTTACGGGTCTCAGTGCCATTTCGCCAAACATGCTTCTTCAGAGCGCTGTTCGCTGTTTACGCTTCTCCGATGTATTCTTTGATACTATAAACACCTGCCATCTCGAGAGGAAAATAACAACACTCTTCTCTTTCCAGACATTCTTATTAATCGAAAACCATACTTATCCTCTGGTCATTCCGTCTATGGAAAACGGACTTCTTCCTTTATTAATTCCTTATGAGAAATATTACTATCTCAACCCGAATCTTTTAAAAAATCAAAAAATACACTTCACCAGAACCACTCCCTAAAGTAACTCTGTACTTCAGTCACGTTACTATACTTCAATATTTTCAAATTGTTACCAATCAATTATCAAAAAGTTTTAAAAAACCTGATTCTGTTGTGTTAAAATCTCGCAACATCTACGATCGGTTAAAGATTAAATTCTACTCGAGATAGCAAGTGTTTACAATACTGTGCAGCTGTGGCGAAGATTGTACCCGATGAAACTGGTAAAAAAATAACAGCCAGAGTAAAAGAACACCAGTGATCAGTTAGACTTAGCGAATATCAGCCAAACAGAGTTAAAGAAAGCCATTTGACGTAACATGAAAAATTATCTTTTCTCGCTTTTCCTTTTCTTTGACTGAGCTTTTGTCGAACTAGAAG